TAGCACACACCTTTAATCCTAGCATTCCAGAGACAGAAATCCCTCTGGATCTCTGTGAGTTCAAGGCCACATTGGAAACAGCCAAGCATGGTGACACACACCTTTAATCCCAGAAAGCCAGCCTTTAATCCCAGAGAGTGGTGGTAGAAAGCAGAAAGATATATAAGGCGTGAGGACCAGAAACTAGCAGCATTTGCCTGGTTAAGCATGTGGCTGGTTAAGCTTCAGGCTTTCGAGCAGCGGTTCAGCTGAGATTCATTCTGGATGAGGACACAGAAGCTTCCAGTCTGAGGAAACAGGACCAGCTGAGAAGTTGGCCAGGTGAGGTTAGCTGTGGCTTGTTCTGTCTTTCTGATCTACCAGCATTGACTCCAATAACTGGCCTTGGGTTTGATTTTATTAATAAGAACTTTTAAGATTCCTGCTACATATAGGTGTTTGCTAGATACCTGGCTTATTATGTAGTCTTGGAATCCAAACTCCATTTTTCATTATTGATGTCTTCATGATTGTACATCAAGTGCTCTTAACTGCTAAGCCAGCTCTCCAGTCCCTAGTGAAAGAATTCTTTCAAGTAGTATTTGATTATGAACTTCAACTTAACCCCAACTGTTCACTCATTACAGTTTTAGACTTTTCAGTCTACAACGTTAGATTGGGATACTAGTGCCTAGGCATGAAAATATAAAATGCCAGAATATACATGAATTTGTGTCATGGTTATAGTTTAAAAAAATTCAAACAAGCCATAATTTTTAGAGTAAGTAAGCAGAAAAAGTAGGCATGATAGTGCATGCTTACCATTCCAGAACTTGGGAGGTTGAGGCAGAATGAAGCCCAGCATGGCCTGCATGGTGAGTTCAAATCCAGCCTGGAGCACATACCAAGAACTTGCCTAACTATCTGAGATTTAGCTTACTAATAAAGATAGTTATTAAGTTCTTCAAGGCTAGTTTCTTTTGAGTATTAGAAATCAACTCTTGAGGTATGCTGTTAGTTAACTGAAATAGAAATGTTTTAGGTATATTGTTCTTCCTGATAGATCGGTACCTTTATTACAAAACTTCCTTCCTAGAACCCTACTGAGATAAAGTTTTATACTGGGTGACTGCAAGTTGGGTCAAATACAACCCTCCTTATAAGTGGGGTCTTCCAGGAAGCCACTGAACAGACCAGATAATAATTACCTGAGAGACTTAAGCTTTACATATGTTCCTCGTCCATTTGACAGTTCTGGTGACAGCCAGGCTAATGCTTTCACCTGGAATATGGGCTGTCAGTTCCGCTGACTATGCTGGAAGTAGAGAATGGGAGCTAGAAGTAAGACAAGTATAAATGCCACAAATTCTGCCTGTTGTCTCAGATTCTCCCATTTAGTTCCGGACACACATAAGCATTTGACTTATTTTTATGGCTCACTGATTGCAATGAGTTGCCAGTCATTTTACTGATATTTTGGAGAAGAGAATTATTTGTGGTTTTTTTACTCTGCCATTTTTAACTTGTCAGGTTTTGATGAAAAAAATGAACAATTAAAATAATGCTGTAGTAATTTTAGATATCAATCCCTCCTGGACTCATTGTCCTTGTTGCTTAATTATTTCTAGAGTTAATTGGCTAGGCTTATTTTTATCAACATTGTTTCCCTTGTAATGTGAGGAATTTTGAGCAACAATGAGTAACTACTTTGTTAGAACAATTTAGTAATTATTATATGATATTGGAAATTATATGTATATTATATGTATATTACTATATACGATTGGGTATTGGATATATACGATATTGGAAAAGTAGCATACAAGTGACATTATGCAGACCAAGATTTTATATATATACACATGCATGCAACAACAATGAAAAAGAAGTCATGAATTTGAAAGAGAGCAAGGAGGAGTTAAGGAGGATGCAAGGGAAGAGAGAAGTGATGTAATTATGTTATTTCAAAAAGAAAAGAAAAACATATATATATAGTTCCTGACATTAGTATAGCAGTTCCAGCTTTCTTTTGGGTACTATTTTGCACATTTTAATGAAATTTCTTATTTTATTTTTGAATAGAATGTAATCATTATATATTGTAAGGAATACATGGGATAGTTCAATCTTTTCCCACACTTTTTAAATTTAGTTTTTTGAGAATTTCGTACATGATTACTCACTACTGTATTTGTATTATTTCCATTTCTTTTCCTCCCACAATTCCCTCTCAAGTTCATGATCTTTTCTGTAATTAATATTGGTGTGTGTGTGTGTGTGTGTGTGTGTGTGTGTGTGTGTGTGTGTATTTAAAACCTATTGTTCCAGCTGGGAGCCCCTCAGTCTTTGGTTCATAGTTCATGTGTTTCCATTCATTTGGCTATTTTTTTTTCAATAATTGAGTAAAACTGAAATTTATTATATGCCACAGTCGTCCTACGGACCTCCATGCTATATGTATATATAGCCTCTATGGTTCTATGGGTTGTGGTCTGATTGTTCATTTTATATCTAGAATCCACCAATGAAAAAAAAAATAAATAAAACCTATTGTTTTACACACTATTACTTTCTGAGTTATTTTGTATTTAAATCTCAGGTGTGTCTTTTGTTGACATTATTCAGCTGAATTCCACTAAGGGGAGCTAGAGAGATGGCTCAGCAGTTAAAAGACTGTCTGCTCTTCCAGAGGACACAGGTTCAATTCCCAGCACCCATTTGGCAGCTCACAACTGTCTGTAACTCCAGTTTTATGGCCTCTGTGGCCACTGCACACATGTGGTACAGGCAAAAAACCTACACACACACACACACACACACACACACACACACACACACACACACACACACCATTCTTTAAAAAAATCAATTCAGTCAGTGTTTACATGTTCATTAAATATTTAGCCCATTCAAATTTAGTGCTAGAGTCTGGGGAAAGGCTCAATGGTTAAAAGCCCTTCAAGAGGGCCCAGGTTTGAGTTCCAGTATCCACAGGGTGACTCACAGGTGATCTGGTGCCCTCCTTGGGCAACAGGCATGCACTTGGTACTCAGAATATACACGGGCAAAGTAGTCATTCACATCAAATAAAAAAATAAATTAATGTGACTACTAATAAGATAGGATGTAAAATGTTCATTTTGTTTCCTGTATTTTATGTCTTCTGTGTTTTATATCCTAAATATTTGATTTTCTTTTATTTTAAATGGATGTTTTTCTGGCACACAATTTCACTTTATTTTGTGTGTATGTGTGAGCATGCACATGTGACTACAGAACAAACTTGAATGTTATTCCTCAGGAGACATCCACCTTATTTATTTACGTGTGTGTGTGTGTGTGTGTGTGTGTGTGTGTGTGTGTGTGTGTGTTGTGTGTGTGTGTGTATATATGGGTGAGTGTGCTTGCCTGTATATGTGTATGTGGAGGCCATAGATTGACATGGGCTATCTTCCTCTATTTCCTTCCCTCTAATTTTTTTTTTAGAAAAGGTCTCATGAAATCTAGAGCTCGCTGTTTCTTGGCTAGATCGGCTATGGGCTAAGGGCCCTTCCAGGATCCACTTGTCTCCACCCACCCCGACCCTACCCACCGGTGCCTGGTTACACTTTTGCTACCACATCCAGCATTTTACATGGGTGTTGGGGGATATGAACTCACGTCCTCACGCTTGTACAGCACTTTACTCACTCAGCCATCTCCTCAGCCCACACCTTATGTTCTGGAAACTGAGTCACTTCACTTGTAGAAGCTCACTGAATAGGCTAGGCTGGCTTGCCAGTCAGCACTGGCACCCGAGTCAGGCTTTTTACAGTGGGTTCCAGGGATTCATTGTCTCATGCCTGTGCAGCAAACACTTTAGTAAATGAGCTATTTCCCTGGTCCCATGGTATTTTCTTGTGTTTTTAATTATTTTTTTTAGATAGGGTCTCACTATACAGTGCACACACACATGTGCGCATGCACACACATGCACACACCCCTACCTATTGAGTCCATTTAGTGTTGCTTGTATGTACATGTGTTTAGGGTTGACTACTTTGGGGTTGATCACCTATTAAGAGAGCTCGTCCCTGAAGAAAAGTGTTTATTTCTCCCAGCAGCCATTGATCGCCTGTAGCTCTCATCTAAGAGTAAGACCCTGTAAAGTTCCGGCCATCTGTGTTGCTGTGTCAACTGGTGTCATTATGCAGGTCTTTGTTTAGGCAACCATACTGTTGAGATTCCATACTGGTCCAGCCTCCCTGGCAATTCTGGAAGATGCTAGCAGCAGGTGCCCTGGTCCTCTCTAGCTCTCACAATCTTTCCACCCCCTCTTCTGAGATGTCCCCTGAGCCTTAGGCTTAGTGGTTGCATTGGAGATGTACTAACTGGGTTTGGGCTCCCCATGATTGTCTCTTAGTCTCTGAATTTTGACGGGATGTAGGTTTTTAAAAACTGTAGTTTTAGGTCAGTATCTCAATGTGTACCCTGGTGATTACAATTAATGTCTCAATTTAAAGCAATTTGGTTTAATTTATATTCTAATTTCAGGAGTATAATAAATTTTTTATTTTTTTATTTTTTTATTTTTTTGATTTTTCGAGACAGGGTTTCTCTGTGTAGCTTTGTGCCTTTCCTGGAACTCAATTGGTAGCCCAGGCTGGCCTCGAACTCACAGAGATTCGCCTGCCTCTGCCTCCCGAATGCTGGGATTAAAGGCGTGCGCCACCACCGCCCGGCTAATTTTTTATTATTTTATAGCCCCCTGAGAAACTATATGTGCCTTCTTCATAATGGTGATCTTCAAATAGTAAGATTTGTAACTTGGGATCCAAAAGTGTTTCTAGTGAACGAGCAGGTAAAGCTATACTGTCTCTTATGGCCCCATCTCAGAACTCAGCATCACATCAGTCCATTCCTTTTGTACCAATCTCAAACATACCCAAATTCAAAGGAAAGGGACATAAACCATACGTGTTGATGGAAACACAGCTAATAGTTTTCAGAAATGCTTCATAACTGTCACAACAGGTTAAGAAATCAAGCCTTGGAGCCTTTGCCAAGGTCATTTGTTTGGCAAAAATAGAACTTCTCAGTACTAATCACACCACTTCTTTGTTTGAAAAGTGAAGGAATTGGGATAAGAAGTACAGACTTCCTTTTCTTTTCCCCTGGCACATGCACAAGTGCGTGCGTGCGTGCGTGTGTATGTGTTGTGTGTAGCACCATGTAACTAGCGTCTTAAGATGAGAGACTCCGACTTTCCCGGGATGGGTTGTCTCTGGAGACAGTGCAAGTGTTTCCTTTCACTCCAAATCAAGATGAGGAGGCTTGAGTTCTTCTACTTTTACAGTTATACAGGGAAGAAATCTAATGGGGGAAATATATAACTAAAGAAATATTTAGAATATTTTTTTTTGTTTTTTTGAGATTGGGTTTCTCTGTGTATCCTTGGCTGTCCTGGAACTCACTCTGTAGACCAGGTTAGCCTCGAACTCCGAGATCCACCTGCCTCTGCCTCCCGAGTGCTGGGATTAAAGGGGTGTGCCACCAATGCCTGGCTATAGAATGTATTTTAAAAATAAATGTAAATAGCTTTCTTCTAGGGCCAACAGGTATGTTTTGACTATAAAAAAGAGCTTCAAATCTTGAAGCAATCTCCAGTAACTCATACATTCATATTATTGTATTAGGACATACAGAAGTCATATGGCTCAGGGTTGAGGAGCTGCTTCTCTTTCCAAGGACCCAGGTTTGGTCCCCAGCACCCATACAGCAGTTCACAATCGCCTGTAACACCAGTTCCAGGAGATCCAATGCTCTCTCCTGACATCTACGATTTCATGAACAAACATGGTATACATATACACTTAGGCACGCACATAAAATAAACATTCTTTGAAGAAATGTACTAAATATACATATTTTAAAATATATTGTACTATTGTAATGTCTTAGTATAGTTAGGGAACGTGAATTTAGTTTTGTCTAGATCTTTGAGAAGACCTGCCTAACGATGTAAGCTGGAAAAGACTTGATAAAAGCTAACCTATATTGCTGGGTGGAGAAAGGAATCCAGTCCCTTACGGAAACTGCAGTGGCTAAGTGCCTGAATTGGGGAACTGAGAAAACAGATGATCAAGGCTGAAAGGCCAAGAGTTGAATTCCCTTCCCATCCCATTCCATGTGCTACAGATGACTATGGAAGCATTATTTGTTAGCATTTTAAGTCCAGGCCAGGAGGCAAGCACTGACAGAGGGTAAGGGATGCAGCTTGAGCAGTTTCTGGGAAGAACCCAACACTGCTTTCCTTCAATGCTATGGGGACTGCCGGTGTAAGGGGCAGTGTGTAATGCCTCTCCCCGGGCCACATTACAGTGAGGCAGCAGGGACTGATTTTCCTATTTGTAGTCCTTGGGTGAACAAACCCGGCAAGCAATGAAACAAGCCTGCTGATTAGGAGGATAGGGGTGTGGAAAACCTTAAAGGGACTCCTGTGGGTTCTGTCTGCTCCCAGGAGAGGCAAGGATGGGATCTTGGGGGGTGGGTGGTGGGTGAATGTTCTGAGCCTGCCTAGTTTGTTTGATCTGTGTTTATTCAGACTACAATTTATTCAAATTGTAACATATGATTTCACAGGACATTAAAAAAATTAACCCAAGGAAGGTGGTGTGCAGGGAGACAGAATTGCTCCTGTTCCTTCACAAGAATGATGAAAATGATATTAAGGCAGTGGAAAGGCCAGGACTCTAAGTATTGTGTCCACAAATGAAACCCTTATCTTGTATAGTTTTAGGATGCTTAACAAATTTTACAAATTCAAGTCTTTTAAAAATGAGGTTTAAAAGCAGCAATGGAATGAAACCAGTTTTCAGCTGCTGTACAGCAAAACCCAAACCGAAAATGGTAATACTGTACAGCTCCTGGGCTAAAGGGGGAATTATATTGAAAACTATAACAATTTGATAATCAAGAAAATTATATATAAAAATTATAGAATGTGAGCAAAGCCATACTTAAGAGAAAATCCACAATCTCAAATGTTTTATTATTACATAAAAAGAAAGTACAATATGTTTGATATTTATTAATGCTGATACTGTATAGGACCTGAACAAAATATATTTTATTTAGTCTTCATAGTAATTACGAGGTGAGTCCTGTTTATTACCCTTAATGATAGGAGGTAGGTCCTGTATGTGCCCCAATTAGGCACATGCATGCAATGTACTAACACTATAACCTGTTTCCAAGAAATGCTTCACATGTTTCTGTATCTAATGCCATGAATGGTTATTAATGGTTATTATTGTATACAGGGCACGGAAGTAACAAAGGGTGAATACAGGATGTCTTCCACCCTGTACAAATCTGCTCAGGATAGAGACGAGGGAAGAGACATAATTCATATTATGACTGCCACTAATCTGGCCAGCGAACCACAGCACTAGGGTGCAATCAGAAAAGTGATTCCAACTTGGGATGGGCATAGAGAAGTGTATTGGGGTGATTGTTGCCCCTGCTTAGGGAAGTAGCTCTAAGTTGTTCAAATGATTATTTAATTCAAGAGAATCAAAAAGAGCATATATACATTTCCACTTTATTAAAATAGTGTATAAATACAGAGCAGTTGGGCACATCCATTCTAAGGCACTGTTCTGGTTTGAATGCAATTCCACAAGAGAGAAAGAGAAGCCATTACATTCTGTATTTTTAATCTCTACATTCAGACTCCTCCTATGTTACTGGGGTCTAATTTTAATCCCAGAATTATTAGCAGCATCATACAGGGACCTGGATGCCAAGAATTAAAGACACATCCTGGCTCTGGCACTTTATATGATTTGGCACTTAATTACAAGCTCTCTTGTATTGTTCTCCATTTGTTTCCCAACTCTTGTTTAACTAGAGATATTTGAAACTCTTTATGAGCCTTACACATGAATTATGTTTTGTTACTAGCTTCCATTAAGACTAGAACAGGACAAGTTAGGCACATAATACATACCCGCCAAATACTTCTATGTTACTTCAAAGAACTTGAATGCAATGAAGAGACCCACTTTCCTTAGTTCTACTTTAAAGATGACTGTGTATCTTCACGAAGGGAATATAATTGAATGTCCCATTGCTTGTGTCTAATAACAAGGACTAAGCTCAAGGAGTATTTTCACATATCAACAGCTTTCATTGACTTCCTCCCTTACTATGAGATTGAGTTGTTACTATGAATACATGAGAACATTTATATAAGTAGCAATTCTGTATGTATATGTATGTGTGTGTGTGTGTGTGTGTGTGATTATAAGTAAAATTCAAAAAGGTTAAGAATCACTAGGTAATTCATAACTTATGTGAATTAGTGACCTTCACCTCTTAAAATGATGTGTATGTAAGTATAATTAAAATTCAGAGGCTGCAAATCACTAAGTAACCCACAAATTATGCGAATTAGTGATCTTAATGTCCTTGAATGATGTGTGTATAATACAAAAGATGTATATTTTCAAATCATTTTTTCATAAAATTCTTGAAACTGGAAATAACTAGGTTTAGAGCTACAGGACCACACTGATAGCTAACAGACATACTGGTTTAAGGCAGTGGGTCCCAAGGGATACTTGCAGAGTATCACTGCAAGTTATTACTATGTGGACAAGAAAAAGGTTCTGGGGTCAAGGAAGTTTGGAAAGCACTGCGCTACAAGAGGCGCCTTAGCCTCCTTTCCTAAACTAGGACCTTTCCAAGAGTCTCCTATGCTCATGAGCATAATGAATCTAGGAAGGACACACAGCTAGAAGCAATTCCCAAAATTTTTGCAGAACATCTTGCAGAACAAAGTATACTACGACACATACTTAGAAAACACTGAATTAGAGAATGGATACACTTTCAAAAGCACTGAAATAAACATGAGAGAATACCAATGACTGAAAATCCACGGATACTTGTTCTTCAGTCCATCTAAATAAAGTTAGATTCTACTTGTACAACTTCAACTGCAAGTTATTTCTGCTAGAGCTCGCAGACAGTTAGAAGCATAGTACTCCACTGTAACCACCATCACTCACAGACGGCCAACTAAGCAGGGCAGCGAACGTCACAAAAGTCCAAACACAACATCACAACTCTAAGCATAAAAATGTAAATGGAAACAAGCCTGTTCCTTAGGCCAATGACATCCTCTTTCTCCTAATCCTCCTGAAACGTTTGTATTGTTTGTCAAAATTCACTGCCTCATTTCTTGCCACATGAAGCATGTATATCTAAATGGCTGCTTTCACATAGTCGCCTTTAATAATTATAGGGGAGAACAAGTGTGGTAGTGTAGAGCAGACACTGTTAATGCTCCATTATATTGGTCCTACCTATAAACGACTGCCACCGTTTATATGCTTTGTGCTTATGCTTATCATATGGTTGCCTTGGAACCAATAATTTCCATTGCAATTAAACAACAGAAAAAGACAGAAGGTATTAAATTCAGAAAAACTGTTAAGGATAGGTAGACACTCTAGAACTCCTATACCTTGAAAGATGGTTTTTAAAAATAGCACCCCTCAAAGCTGTACTTGTAAGACAGCCAGCTACTGCAGACTCCCATGTTACCCTGTCATAGGACCTGCTCCCCTTAACAGTTCTTAAAGAAGTCCTCTGAAGTGTGTGACCTGGTGCATGATAAGGCCTGCTCTCTGCCTGAAGCTTTTAGAACAGTGAGTACACTTGTATGGCTTTTCCCCTGTGTGGATTCTTAAATGAATTACAAGGCTTGGTCTCTGTCTAAAGCTTTTCCCACAATAACTACATTTGAAAGGTCTCTCTTCTGTGTGTGTTCTCTGGTGCAAAGTAAGTGCTGTCAGGCGACTGAAACTTTTCCCACAATTATGACATCTATGAGGTTTTTCACCTGTATGGGTTTTCAGATGTCTTTTAAGACTGGATCCATGACAAAAGCTTTTTCCACACTCAAGACATTTATATGTTTCTTCTTCAGAATGGGTTCTCTGGTGCCCAATCAGGTGTGAGCGCCGAGTGAATCGCTTTTTACACACACTACATTCATAGGGCCTCTCTCCTGTGTGGAGTCGCTGATGTCTATAGAGGTCAGAGCTACGCAGGAACCTTTTTCCGCATTCAGGGCATTTGTGAGGCTCCTCTCCTGAATGAATTCTCTGGTGCCCAGTGAGTTGTGACTTCCGAGCAAAACATTTTCCACACTGAGGACAGCGGTGAGGTTTCTCTCCAGGACTCTTTTTCTTTGGAGGCTTCGGGTTGAGAGGTTCTTCCAAGTTGGAGCTCTCAGGTGTTTCTCCTAGAATGGGGTTCTGAGGATCTACAAGTTTTGTTAAATCTGTCTGTAACTCCTCTGGGGGTGGCTCCCACTGATTTTCTAATTGTACATAGTCCTTTTGCAGAATGGGACCATGGAGAGCATTCCCTTCTAAAGTCACAACAAATGGGTACATATTTTCCATTTTTTTCTCTTTTGAAGTATCTTCTTCATTTTCTATTCCCATCTCAAAACCTGAGAAGAAATAGAAACTGAAGGTTTCATTGTGTTCGGCAAAAGGAAAAAGTGAAGGAAAGTCAATAGTGAACGTAGAAATGCCTAGACACACTCCAAGTTCTTTACCCTGATTACTGCTGATTGCCTTCTTCCCGAGACTGTAAAGGAACCATTACTTACCAATCTTGGAATCAAGCAATTGTTTCATTTCTTTGGGATCCTCTAATTCTTTTACCCATGGCTCTTCTCTATGATCCAGGGGGAAGTTCATGTCAAGCTTTGGCAACTGATAACCTGGTCATAGAAGGAAAAAGGGAGAAGCATGACAGCGTGGTTCATCAAAGGTTTTTCTGGAATATAGGCTGAGTGCAAGGATACATGGTGTCTTAATACCCATTTTCTCCCCAATTACTGTTCCTTCATCTGGAGCCACTTATAAGAGTCTTTTTTAAAGATAAGAACAAAATAACAATTGAGAAGGCCATTCTTTTGTGCTTCAGGTGAATGAATCGTGCTCTAAAAGCAATGTATTATGTTAGTTCTGTATTTATTTCGATAATACATTTATTTATGCTAGAGCTAAAATATGGAGTAAATCTTTATAAAATGTTGGTATAGTGAAAACTGGGAATTACTGCATTTGAGTGCTTAAAGAAGAGCAGTCTAAACATACGTGTCAGAGAAGAGCAGTCTAAACATACGTGTCAGAGAAGGGCAGTCTAAACATACATGTCAAAGAACAGTGGTCTAAACACACATGTCAGAGAAGAGTGGTGTAAACTTAGGTGTTAGGAAATTGTTTACTGGATAAGTTCACTTGATACCTTCACAGAAACATTTCCATTTTATTGAACTTAATTGGAAGCAGCAAAAAGTAGTTGTAACGTGTCAGCAGGAGTCTAGAAAGGGCATTTAAAAAACGAATAACCCAAATGAACTGCTAGGTAGTGTTCCTGTCGAACATCTTAAGTACTACTTGCTCTCCCGACACATTCAGCCTTCACCGGCACCCTATTTTTCCTGCCTCTTTTTCTTCCTCCTCACTGCTGACCACATTTACTGCTCTCCAGTAACATCTGCTATGGAAATGATCTAACAATAGTAGGAAACAAGCTAACAAATGGGCTGATGGTTAAGTGTTAGAACTATTAAAATGGCACATACAAGTAAATACTAATCTACAGGAAAGTTTGTATTTTAGATTATGACATGAGAAATGGATAGAAATTCCTTGTTTGTTTTATCAAGAAAAGACCATATGTTTCAATTTCAAGACTAAGAAATGAATGAGAGAACTCAGATGGATTTCTGTGCTGGGTATGATGGTGCATGCTATAATTCTAGGCTGAGATAGAAGAATTGCAAGTTCCAGGCCAACCTTGGCTACAACGTGTGACTCTGCCTCAAAAAGAAGAAAAATATACTTCAAAATTCACTATTTGGTTTTTGTTTGGATTTCAAAGTTGAGATGAGAAGAGGGGACCATATGAGATAGATAAAAATGCTGAGGGTCACAGCTTGAAGGAAAGCTGCTGTGAGAAAATAAAGGGCACAAACTAAAACTTGGAAGAGATCACAAGCTGATATATAAATTACTGATTCAGAGAACACTCCAAGATGGCAGATTATACCCACCTAACAACTGCCCAGTTCTCCTGGGGACAGGATTGAAACAGCCAGAGAGGAGCTAACTAGCCTTGGAGGCAGCTGGTGTTAGCTGTGAAAAGACAGCGAAATGAGAAAACGCAGATCCTTCTGGAGAGCAGAACGGAGGACAAGAAAGAAAGAGCACCCCACACATGGTAATAGCACAGCGGAGAGCGCAGGCGGGGACAAAGGAAGGAGAGACTCAGAGAACGAAATCTCCACCAGCATGCAAAAGTACAGCCTGGACATGCAGCACGGAATTCGCATAGCACCCCGGCACTGGCGGAAGTTTTCCCTACTTCCCACAATATAATGGTGTATATTAAGAAAGCCGTCTTAAGGTCTTATCCTGAACTGCTTCAGGATTCAAAGATACCTACATTTTTGTTTATCTCCAGAAACCCACAGTAAAACCCACAAACTTATCTAGAAAATGTTGGACTAGACAGCCAATCATCCGGCTACTGGAAAAGAGTTAACCAAACCCACTGAAAGCTCTATGCTATGTCCTTTCTCACTACTCGGAAAATATAGCACTGGAAATCTTAACCAGAGTAACAAGGCAAGAGAAAGAAATAAAAGTGAAACAAACAGAAAAGGAAGAAGCCAAATTATCCCTATTTGCAGATACATTCTTATATTTAAGACCCTAAAGATACAAGAATGTAAGACCTGATACAATTTCAGCAAACTGGCAAGATACAAAGCAACAGAGATGATCCAGTAGCTTAAAAAAAAAAAAAAAACAGTACTGACCTTGAGAAGGAAATCAGAAAACCAATGTCATCTAATATACCATCAAAAATGACTAGGAATAGGGGCTGGAGCAATGGCTTAAGCAGTACTTCTCTGCACTTAACATCAGAAGAAGGCATCAGCCGTTTGTAACAGCAGTTCTGGGGGACCTGATGCCTTCTTCTGGCCTCTGCAGGCACTTGTATTCTTGTACCCCAGTGCACACACAACTAAAATAAATTTCTTTTTTGCTTTTTTTTGAGACAGGGTTTCTCTGTGTAGTTTTGTAGACCAGGCTGGCCTTGAACTCTGGCTCTGCCTCCCGAGTGCTGGCATTAAATGCATGTGTGGAGATGGCTTAGCCATTAAAGGCTAGGCTCACAACCAAAATAAAATATTTTTAAGTACCTAGGAATAAACCTAATCAATAAAGCAAAATTCCTCTATAATGAAAAGTACAAAACATGTATGAAAGAAATTGAGGAATATACTAGAAGATTGAGAAAATTCCCATGCTCATAAATTAGCAGAATTAAAATTGTAAAATTGGTACTGTTACCCAAAGTGGTCTGCTGGCTAAGTGCAATCTTCAAAATTCAAATTACATTCTTCACTGAACTGGAAATCAACCCTAAAGTTCATATAGAAGCACAGAAGATAGAAACAGTGAAAGCAATCCTGAATAATAAAAAGAAGAATGCTGGAGCTTTCATAATACCTGCCACCAACAGAACCATAGCGACAAAGCTGCCTAAAATATATCTTGGAGGAAAAAAAATAGTCTCTTCAACAAATGGTACCTGGAAAACAGAATATCCACACATAAATGCTACTTCTTCATTTTGTTAGTTTTTCGAGACAGGGTTTCTCTGTTTAACAGCTCTGGCTGTCCTGGAACTCACTCTGTAGACCAGGCTGGCCTCGAACTCACAAAGATCCACCTACCTCTGCCTCCCAAGTGCTAGGATTAAAGGCATGCACTACCACCACCCAGCTTACACACATAAATAATTAAGACTTTATTCCTATCTCTAATCCTATTAAAATTAATTTAAAGTGGATCAAAGAAGCCAGGCAGTGGTGTCATATGCATTTAATCACAGAGTTCCAGGGTAGCTAGGACTACACAAAGAAACACTGTCTCAACAAAAAGAAAGAAAAGATTGAAGACCTTAATGTTAGATCTGATACTTTTAAACTACTAGAAGAAAACATGGTAAACATGTCCTGGTACAGTTATCAGTAAACCTTTCTGAAAAGAACTCCAATATCTTGGAAAATAATAGTAAGAATTGGCCAGTGGTAACCTATTGATTCCCAGAACCCACATGGCAGCTCACAACTGTCTGTAACTCCAGTTCTAGGAGATCCAACACCCTCACACAGACATATAGGCAGGCAAAACACTAATGCACATAAAATAAAAATAAATAAATAATTAAAAAAGAATCTTCAGATGACAAATTGGCTGTTATTTGTTGGCACATTTCTCTCCCTTGAAAGTAAGGTCTTTCCACAGTTAACCAGCAGAACTGGGCCCCAGGCCAGGAGATGCTGACGCCAGAGGGAGGTCACAAAGCTTGGCATTACAATCTGCTCCGTAAGGCAGAAGCCTGGATCTACTTTGGTTGCTGTTATCAACCTTAGGCAAGAAACATGAGTTCTAGGAACCTTACTATGCTTCCTTTAGACTCCACAGTCTCATGTGGGGTAAGAAAGTGAGTGTGTGAAATGTGGGGGATGACATCTGTGCCACCACAGCATCACCTCCTTGGATGAGCTCTAACAGTCTGGTGAAAAAAACCTTGTGAACAGTAATGGAAACAATTAACAGGGTAGTGAAATAGCTTAGAGAATGTGGAAAAATAAATCTTTGCTATTCATCTGCGAGGGTCACTATCCAGCATATATAGAAAGAACGAGAGAAAGAAAGAAAGAAAGAAAGAAAGAAAGAAAGAAAGAAAGAAAGAAAGAAAGAAAGAAAGAAAGAGCCAAAGAATAAGTAATGCAATCAGTAAATGGACAAGTGAACTGAACAGATATTTTCAAAAGTATGACCAAGCAAGGGTGGTGGCTCATGACTGTAATTGCAGCACCTGGGAGTCTGAGGCAGGAAGACTGCCATCTGTTAGAAGCCAATATGTGCTACATAGTGAGTTCCAGTCAGCCTGGACTACATTCTACATTCCAGTGTGTGCATATTTTCTGGTCAAATGAATAGCTTATATTTTTTAAGGAAATGACATTTTAGATAATATACTGTAATAACTTTAACTCAAATGTGTAGCTGTTATATAACAGTTTCTGCTATAATTGGCCATTTCATTCTGCAGGGAAGCCTTTAAGACAGAAGGCAAACAACTCAAGACAGCTCTAGGAAGTCCCTGAAACTGACCAGATTCACTAGGCGCCTTCTTCCCAGGAGTAAACAAGCCAAGCTACAAAGACGATTCTCAGACAAGCCAAGTTGCAAAGAAGACTTTGAGAGGAGACCAGCTGCCAGGAAGAAGCAGAAGGCAGTAGAGCTGCTTGGAAGAGGTTTAGACCAGCTGAGTCGCCAGGGAAGGAGACTCTCCAACCTGTTGAGCTGCCTGCAGGCTGAGCAGTGAGCTCCAGGTTTCCAGCTGTGTGAGCTGTCACCTGTCCTGGGGTGGACTTTGGTGATGCAGCTTGTCTTTGAGTCTTTTCTGTTCCTGTAAGTAACCCCTATAATAATTATTGGATCAGCAAGTTGCACTTTATGGTATCTGTAGTTTAGTCTGTCATGGGCTCCCTGTCTGAGGTGAGTAGATATGTGTGTAGCACCTCCCCAGGAAAAGTCTTGTCACACAACAAAGTCATTATTGTTATTTCTTTGTTAAATTAATGACTGGGTAATTTTGCTGATTTCTTCCCCCTTGTAAGCTAAGTAT